GTGAAATAAAAATTGGAATAAATTTAAAAGGTGTTTGAAGGAGAATTAATATCAGGCTTAAGTTATCATCATATGTTCCTTTAACAAAGATATTTAAAAGTTTATTTTTTTATTTGCTGAGCTGGTAAATAAAATACCTAAATTTAACAATGATGAAATACTAAAGTGAAAATGACCTTATTTCTGAGAATAGAAGGATCTCATACTGGCATTCATCCCTTAGTAAGAATTAACTCCTGGAAATAAAGTGAACATTGATACCAAAGAATCAGTTGAGTTAAAATGGTTGTATTATTCTGATCCAAAAATATTTTGTAGCTCTTGATTGGTCATGGAGTCCCTCAAACCACAAGTACTAAAGGACCAATTTAGTTGCAGCCTTGATTTATATAACCTCAAAATTCTAGGTTTACAAGATGTATCATGAAACACCATAGTAGATCCAATATAAGTGTTCTGAGCATGTTTAAGTTTGCCTAAGCTAAATTACGATGTTAGTTTAGTTGTACTAAATTAATTTTCAACTTAAGATATTTTCAACTTATAATGGGTTTGTTGGCATGTAATACCATCATAAGTTGAGGAATATCTGTACATAATTTGCTCTTATGTAATGCATTAACACTCCATTTTTTCCCAAAATTGAGTTTCTAAGGAACATAACTACTCATGATATTAGATGATATTACTCTGTTCAACATGTTCATGACATCATCTCTCTTACAACCCGAGGAGCAAGTATCTGAATCTTCTAAGACCTTTATGATTTTGTTAAGTGTCAAAAAGAGATACTGAAAGGATACTTAAATTGTTTGCCAATTTTTACATTTCTTATGCATATAGTGATGTAGATAAGCTAAAAATGCTATCTCTCTTTTTTTTTTTTAAGATTTTATTTATTTGACAGAATTCACAAGTAGGCAGAGAGGCAGGCAGAGAGAGAGGGAAGCAGGCTCTCTGCTGAGCAGAGAGCCTGATGAGGGGCTCGATCCCATGACCCCAGGATCACGACCTGAGCCGAAGGCAGAGGCTTTAACCCACTGAGCCACCCAGGTGCCCCTAAAAATGCTGTCTCTTAATTAAAGGACAGAATGTTATACTCTGTTCCTTCTGGCACTAAGAGTTCTTGTGGGACTACTAATTTTTGAAAAAAAAGTTCTATTTGGATACGCTACTTGAATCTATATACTGAGTAACTGTGAAAGTTTCCAGCTCTGAATGCATTCAGAGTGTAAGAGGAGTTTCCAGGTTTTTACATAGTGTTGGAAGCATTTGGCTATATGGACACTCCAGTTACAAAAACTGAATTCACTTGGTGTCTAAAGCGAATTCTGATGTAGCATAAGACACATGAAAATCCATACAGTTGTGAGTAGATCTTTACCGGTTTTGGTCAATAAATCTCCCCTTGATATTTCTACTGGCCTTGATGAAATATGAAGCCCAACTGAACATAAAATCCAAGGTGCTGACTCCAAACTTAGCCTGACCCACCTAGCCATTGAATTAGGTAGGTTTAATTACAATTCCAATTAAAAGTGTGCAAAAGAGATTGGGTTCAAACATATCCTGAGGCATATTCATGCTGACTAAGCAGAGTCTTTATCTTCTTATTGTGATCTCTGTTGCCTGAACTATCCTACATATTTGCTGTAATAGGAGTTACTTTTAACTAGTTGACTAAAGGTTAGGAAACATGTTTGGTAAACAAAAGATTCAGTTTCATCGGATGGGTAGCCTGCTACAAATTTATGTCCTAGTGCATTAGAATCTCTGGAGTACAAAGATGCTAAAATACACCCAGTAGATGGACTTATCTTTAAGCAGTACATCTTATACTCTTAGAATGGGAACTTACATGATAAAAGAAACAAGTAAATTCATAGAAATGACTGAAGTCTTGTCCTGTTACAGGGTTGAGTTTAAAATTGGGGGAATATCAGAATAAGGTTTTGTGTTGATAGTTTAAATATGATAGTTGGAAAATTTACTTTCTGAATGTTAGTAAAATTTTAGCCCAGTTTTAGCTCATCTTGTCCAGTGGGCTGATGAGCAAAGTGAAATGATGGTAAAAATGAATACTAAAGGGATGCCTGGGTGGCTCAGTCTGTTAAGCTTCTGCCTTCAGCTCAGATCATGATCCCAGGGTCCTGGTATAGAGTCCATATCCAGTTCCTTGCTCCGCAGGGAGCCCACTTCTCCCTATGTCTGCTGCTCCCCCTGCTTGCTCTTGCTTTCTCTCTCTCTCTCTCTCTCTGACAAATAAAATCTTTAAAAAAAAATGAATACTAAATACTATATAGATGGGTGTAAGTCCATTTTAACACGACTTAATTTCATTGCTAATGAATTCATTTTCCAGCAGTCCATTCATTGGTTTCTATATTTTATTGTACTTTGGAAAGGCCAGCCGTTTACCTGGTAGCAAAATTGACAATATTGCATTGTGCCATTCTGAAAGGGGGTATTATTTTCTCTCACTAAAGTAGACACTTAATATTAACTAAGGTATACATATCATGTGTGCCCTAATTTTGCCATGTTTAAACATATTAAGTACCACTAGTATTAAATATATCCTAGAATCCTATACAAACTTTCCCTGACAAAAGATCTGTAAAGAGGTAAATTAAATACTCCATTGCTTTGACAACATGGTGAGAATAACTTACGAAGTTGAAATACAAACCCAGATATATGTATATTCTCTGAATCAACAAGCAATATAATATTTTTTCTCCCATTAACAGAATATCAAGTTTCAAGAACAAAGGATCATAAGTGGAGGGGGTGAATCTCTGAAGATTAATGATCTAATGGCTGACATTAAAAAAAGTGCTTTTGTTTCTCAGTACTCTAGGGCTCTGATAGTTTAGATATTTTAAGTTTAGAAAATGGTTATTATTTTATTAAATGCATGCATTTACGGAGAAAAATACCGTCAAGAGCAGAGATGTGTGAAAATTCGTGACCAGTTCAAACATTTGGAAATAGTTCATTATTGACAGATGATAGTTAATTCAAAGTATATTTTGAATGCATACTCAATGATAGACACTCTCAGATGTTTAGATGTTTTAAAGGTGTTCACTGGATAAAACATTTAATAATCCATATCTGTTGGTATAAAATAATAAGTTTTGAGGTGGCTTGTTATGCAACATTAGATAAATGATAAACCTCATTAAGTTTAATGAAAGCCACCATCATTCATCAGGGCCCATATATTTTATGTATAGACTAAATAGGCAAATTGAATATGACTGTTGTAGAAATCCTTATCCTTGCATATTTCAAGTCCTTCATGGTGGCATTGTTCTCTAGAGTCCCTTTATAAATATGGTATTACTTTTAACTGACTGCTTTTGAAGATAGAGGCAGTATTAATGGATTCCATTTGGCCTTTCCTACAGAATAAGTCCTTATTCCATGAGTCCTGAAAACCAAGCTGGATTTTCTGCCAGTAATGTCTATTGTAACTATACATTTTTTTTTAAAGATTTTATTTACTTATTTGACAGAGATCACAAGTAGGCAGAGAGGCAGGCAGAGAGAAAGAGGAGGAAGCAGGCTCCCTGCTGAGCAGAGAGCCCGATGTGGGGCTCAATCCCACCCACGACCCTGGTATCATGACCTGAGCCGAAGGCAGAGGCTTTAACCCACTGAGCCACCTAGGCGCCCGTAACTATACATTCTTAAACTGGGGATATAATCACAGAGTGGTTTAGGGAAGACCTGGACCGACTCTAAAATTAACCCAAATCAAAGCTCTATTGGTTGCCTGGTTTTCATAAACTTCTTCTCTGGCTGGTAGAATATAATAGCATTGTCCTCCAGTTTTTAGTTTCAGTTTAAAGCTAGGACTTCATGAAAAGTCTATCTCCCCTTTGCCAATGTACAATTACTCTTCACCACCCCCCTTGTTTTTTAAATTGTGATAAGGACATCTGACATGAGATCTATTATAATATAAAAAATTAAGTACATAATACAGTAACAATTAGGCACAAAGTTGTACAGTAGACTGCTAGAATTTACCTTGCATAACTGAAACTTTAGACTTGTTGAATAGTAGTAAGTCCCTATTTGTTTTTTAACCTCCTCTCAGTTCATAGTGAACCCTCTTCTCTCTTCTAAGACTCTGATTACTTTAGATACCTAATATAAATGAATCGTGCAATATATTTTTCTGCAACTGGCTAATTCTACTTACCATAATGTCCTCAGGGTTCATCCGTCTCGCCACCTACAACCAGAATTCCTAAGATTTAGTAAAAGGAAAATTACAGGGTGACATTTGATTATGTAGCAGTATACTCCTGCAAGAGGAAATGACCTCAACTTTATTTAAAGGTTTTTGACTCTAAACTGACTTAAGTCTGGGAATTAGGAGCTCTAGTTGCAATCATTATGGTGATTCCAGTCACATGCTGTTCAATAGCTATAGCTATTTCCTGCATATATAGCTATTTCCTGCATATGCAAAACAAGTATGACCTTTGCAGGCTGCCTATCTACATCCATTGTTCAGAGCTTGATCAGCCAGACACATCAAAATTCTAATAGCCAAAGGTAATACTTTTCTGGTCCTTCCAGAGAACATTGGTAGAAAGACTAAACAAGTCTTAATACATCCGCTGTAAAGTTCTAATCAATCTCTCTCTCTCTCTCTCTCTCTCTCCCCCTCTCTCTCTGTTCTTTTTGTACAGAATACCAAAAAAATTTAGGTGTTTCAACTTTATTTTGTTAAATACCTTTGGGTTTATGGTTATATCAACCAATCAAAATGCTAGTCATTCCCAGGAAATTGAGTTTACAGGTGGAAATCGGAATCTCTCCTGATGTGCAAATTAAGCATTCAAGCTGGTCCAACATTATATACCTTAAATCCTGAGACATATCCTTTAACACTTATTCCTATACTTCTTCTGTAGACTTTGTATTAAAAATATATTTTAGAAAAGAGGTAAGATTGAAATTGTTAATTGACATTTTATGAATTTAGATAAGAAAAAAATAAATCTTGAAGTAAGAACTGGCCATAAGTAAGGTTAGGTTAAGTAAAGTAAGGTTAATATTCTCAATTAGCAATAATCACGCCTCGGATAAACCTCATTGGCTATGATACTGCCACTGCGCAAAGCTAATATTCTCAAACAACAATATGGCAACTATTATCTGCAAGCAATGAATGTCATTGAAAGTGGTGTCATGAAACTGAGCTCACTGAACTAAATCAAGATGATTGTACCCTTGGTAGCTGTGGTTAACTGACATATATTAAATGTCATTTATAAGATAAGTATGGTTTCCATAATGGGCAGGAGAGTCAACGAATTGATCAGAATTGGTTGGCTCATAGAATTTATATTACCTTGCTATGCCTCCAAGTTTATAGACTAATGTTCTGGAAAGTTTATGCCACTTGTCATATTTTCATTGGATGCTCATTATTGTATTTTCTTATTGAGTTACTAGATTTTGTTTTCTTTCTTTAAGATGTTTTGGGTTTGTTTTGGTTGGCTATTAGGTCATTTGTCAGTGAAATACTAGCTTTTGCAGGGAACATAAACTGTAACTGTTACTCCAGGGATACTCCAGCCTTATTACAAGGAAGTGAAACTTTTGGTATCACCACTAATGATTCAGGTGGTCACTGAAGACAACAGTTGACCACTGAACAATGTGAGGGTTAGAGGTGCCAATGCCCACACAGTTAAATATCTATATAAAACTTTTGTCTTCCCTCAAACTTAACTACTAACAGCCTACTGGAAATAGTTAAGTTAGAAGGCTTCCTAACTGGAAGCATTAAGAATAACATAAACAGTTGATTAACATATATATTTAGTATGTTATAAGTATTGTATAATGTATTCCTACAATAAATTCAACTAGAAAAAAGAAAATGTTATTAAAATCATAAGAAAGAGAAAATACATTTACAGTATTGTACTGTAAAAATATCCTTCCTATAAGTGGACTCATGCAGTTCAAACTTGTGTTATTCAAGGGTCAACTGTATTTATTTAACTGTACATAGCTCAAATATCTTCATGTTCAGTGGTTTTGGTGGATGTTTTCAAGTTTACAATTTTCTACTCCCCTCCCCCACTCCAGCCATTGGAATTACTCTCCACACTTGCATAATTTCATACTCAGAAAATATCAGTTGACACACTATACATATTCCTGGATTTATTTTTCATTATGTTCCCTCCCTTCCAAAACTTAGCTTTCTAAATTTCAGCCATTTTAGTCTCCCCACATTTCCAAATTCTACTATTTCTTCTCAGCCAGGCTCTTGGACTCTTTTGTTTCCCATATCTGATTCTACAATTTAAAGGAAGCATGTAGGCAGGACATCTGAGTCAATATCAAGAATATTTCATTTATTTTCTTCATATCTTTAATCAAAGACTTGCACTTCTTAGTGATTAATTCCTGAAACATTAGTTAATCTCTTGCCAAGTTACTTTGTTTGGTTTTTGGTCTTCATTTTAGTTATTTTTAGGACATAAGTTGAAATCTTGTTCTTATTCATCGTGATTAGAAGTAGATAAATTTAATTAAAAAATGTAGACAAATGAAATGATAATAAAAGTTATCTTCCAGTATTTTATACTTTATAAATTAAAATGAAATGCAATCATTATTCTCAACATAAATATTAGTAATTTTCCTAAAAATTGGCATAGCAGAATTTTGACAATTGACAAGTTACTTAAGTAAATAACACCTGATGCATATTAACTTTTTGTTTTTATTGAAACTAATAACAAATCTATAAGCAACTTAATGGTAAGGAATTTTTTAATGAAATACTACCATGTTATGTAATTTTCATGTGAAGAAAAACTATCATTTCTCTTATTTTAACTGATAAAAAGTAATCATTCTTTTCAATATTTCCATGTTAATTCATAGATTTTATGGTAGAGTCAAGTACATATATATGTATATTTATAAAATATGTATGTGTTTGTGTGTATGTCTGTGTAAATATACATATGCAAATATATATATATTATATAAGCATGCATATGTAAATATATATTTAATGTTAGAATAACCCAGAACAAAATAAGCAAACTATTTACATTATTCTTTACTGTTAAAATGTTAGTTTCCTCCTTAATAACATATTTAAGGTTTTTACTTAATCCCTCATATTACTTCAAGTGAGTGTACAATTTATTTGTCCAAATGGTTTTTGTAAATGTGGTTTTAATATTTAAACCAATACATTTTTTTCCTGGATTGAAAATGTCATTTATTTCTTAAATTTATTTAACACAGTTATTTTATGTATCATGCTGGTAAAAGTAAGAAAAGCTCAGTTTGAAAGAATTATACTATTTTGTATTAATGTTTTTAAGAAGCTGGTAGTATAAAAAGTTACTAAGCCTTTTGAGCTATATTGCTTGGGATAGATTGATTCATTTAATTTTAAAGAGCATAATTAGATATTACAAGCATTCCTTTTAAGAAAAGGAGAGGCAGGGCACCTGGTGGCTCAGAGGGTTAAAGCCTCTGCCTTCTGATCAAGTCATGATCCCGGGGTCCTGGGATTGAGCCCCGTACCAGGCTCTCTCCTTGGTGGGGAGCCTGCTTCCTCCTCTCTCTCTCTGCCTGCCTCTCTGCCTACTTGTGATTTCTCTCTGTCGAATAAATAAATAAAATCTTAAAGAAAAAAAAAAAGTAAGAAAAGGAGAAGCTAGTTTATATCTCAGAGGTATCATGCGCTTGCCAGCAATTTATTATTCAACACTAATTTGTGTATTGAAATTTATAAAACCCTCACTTGACATAGATTTATGATAATTTTTATACCACTGGCAACTATGTGTGGGTTAAGCTTTTGAGAAGAAATATCCAGAGGATCTAGAAATATATACTCCCTTAGGACTTAGAAAAGAAAGATGGTCATCAGGAAAAAAAATTTGTCTTACCAACAGGGCATCTTTGTTATATATTGACTTTATTCTAAACCTAGAGAATTATAATTTTTAAGCCCAAACTTAAAAGAGTAATAAGAATGTATGTAACATATCTTATTTGACTCTGAAATAACTCAAAATTTAAAAAAATAATAATGAAAAACGTATTTTCCTACCAATATAACTACATAGCACAAGACATTATTCAATGATTGACATCCCAAAGTTTTCAATAATTAAGTCATATATTTCTTTATGATAGACTTCATTGTTTAATTATTTAAATATTTGTTATAATTAATTTAATATTGCATTATATTAAACAGTAAATGTTTGGGTTTATATTTAGCTGTGCTATTGGTTATCTGTCTCTATCTCTGACCTGAGAGGCAGCATATTACTATGTTTACATTTAATGGGCACATTTTCTAGTCTTTATTCATGGCTTCATGTCCTTCAATTTCCCAGACTGTTTTTTAGAAACAATTTAATCATTTAATTATTTTTACATGTAGTCTGGAACTGTTCATCACATATCTTTGAACATTCCTGTTACCATTGGCATAAAGTAAATGGACTTTCTGACTTTTGGCTACCCATTCCAGTGTTTCACGAAAGTATTGGAAAGCATAGCATTTTTCTGTGTCTTTCATCCTTACAAATTTTAGGTCATTTCTGTGTAAATATAACAATAACGATGATCACGATTTTGACTGTGATGGTTTTGACAGCGATGACAACACTACACTACATGTTTTATATTAATTTTTTCTATGAGACTATGAAGTTGGTAAGATTATTATCCTCATTTAACAAACATGATAATCAAGCCCCAAATGAGCAATTGTCTGATTTCTTTTTTTTTAAATGGGTAAGGAATCAGAAGCAGGTTTCTGACACCAGTGCCAATCCTCTTAGAAAACACAATCTGTTTTCTCTCAATTTATTCACACTTTGAGTTGCTTTCAGATATAGCCAATGTGTATATGCAAGATAATGATACATAGGTAAAACAAATGAGCCTTCTTTTCTCTACATGGCTTATATTCTGATAGGAAAAAATATTACAACCAGAAATATTTTTTTTCCTCAAATCTTTACAAAAGGAGCATTTCATTAATCAGAACACAATTTAGTGAGTTATTTAATGAACATATATGTTATAAACTCTTAACATTCATATTGAAAAATTGATTAAATAATAGAAGAAAAAATCATCAAGGACTCAATGAGTTATTGACATTAAGAAAGAGATATATATATGTGAGTCCTATTACACAAGGCATAAAGGAAAAAAATTGCAAAATTCTGATTATAGTAGTCAGACATAAATTTAGGTTCCACTTTTCCCCTAAAGTCTTGTGGTATTTATGGCATGATTTTTGGATAGCACATTGATTTTTTTTTTTTCAACTCATATGTCACAATATAGCAAAACTGACTGTGATTGTTATGAATTTTTTAAAACAACATGAGAAAAGAAGATAAAAAGGAGAGGATAAAAGAGAGGGGAGGAGTGGGGAGAAATATCAAAACTTCCAGGCAATATGGGAAGAGACTTATTTACTGTGTATTAGTGTTTAAAAAAGAAAGCAAAAATAAGTTAAATATTAATGGATATAATACATAGGTGGAAAGTAATGTGGAGAGTGTTTGTGGTAGGATAAACATGATTGATATGTGGGAATAGAAGTGAGTACCATAGAAATATAAGCTCTCTGATCAGTTTACCTTCAATCCCAAAACATTAGATTTATCTAAGAACAATTTTTAAGCTGCAAGCTGATTTTTAATTTAGCTCTGTCTTCCTGTTGAATATAAGCTTTTTGAAAGAGTAACATATTTACTTCAATCTATCTTTAATGTGTAACTGTTCAGTGCCTCTGTAAATAAGTGTCTGAGATACAAGATATTAATAGATTTATATTGAGCAAGTGAATGGAGTAGTCAGGAATGCAAAGTTAATGCAAACTGACTTCTAGTTTTTGAATTCTTTAATGTAACATTAAATGTTTAGCTCAATCAGTCTTTAACAACTGACTGACTGGCATATATTGAGACTCTGATATCCCTAGCACCTGACTACTGGATGAAGTTAGGGGAAAAGAAACACACAAATAGAGAAGATCGATAAACTCTCATATGAACTACAAATGATTTACATACCTGCCACATTGGGACACTCTTATTGGGCTCAGTTGTGTC